TGTATTGAAAACTTATTAGACAATTTACCAATTACTGATTGTCCAATCTTCAAAATCAATCTACAAGACCCAATAATCGAGCAAGTTACTCGAGAACTAGTCCTAGTTCTTCCAGCAAAACAAGAAACCATGTTAGCCAAATGCCACACCGATCAATATCACCAAATCAACGAATCAATGTTGATCACGATACCAGATGGATGTCAGATTGAAATCAACAACAAAATATTTTCCAACGACGTGAAAATTCAAGATGGAAAACCACTGTTGCTACCCGCAGTAATTTTAGCAGCTTCCAATTCCACTAAAGTATTGGAAACGCAAAATATAACTGAAATCAATTTTGAAGAAATCCACCAGTTGCAAAATATGGCCAACTACGTAGTACCCCACATTGGATACTATTTGTCATGATAGTCGTCGTGTTCTTCACAACCCTCGCTGTTAAGAAGAAAACGCCACAATCATTCTTGAGATCCTGGAGGACCAATCGGAAAGAAGTACAAGAAGAAGAAGCCACCACCCAACAACCCTGCTATTCGAAAACACGTCCCTCAATTTTCGAACCTTAAGGAGGGAGGAGTTATATCCATGCCATAAATGGAAACCACGAACGCGGCAGCACAATTGCAGACATTCTGTTGATAAAGCATTTCTCTATCTAGTCTATAAGTACCCCGATTTGCCCGCACTCTGTATTCTCTGTCAAGCCTTCAGCACGCGAAATCTTGTACGTCAAAATAAAAACCTTCGTTTTTAAAAAGGACATTTTCAATTGGAAATCTACAATTACGTATCATTTTTTTCTTTAACACATACGGAAGCGTGCAAGAACGCACGCCACTGGCAAAACTTAACAAAATATTTTGTCGAAAAACGTCCGTCCTCCCTAGTTATTCATTCCTGGAAAATTTCGTTAAAATATCTCCATGCGTTTTGAAGAACTGATCACTTTGTATTGGAATTTTAAAATAAGATGTAGTAAAATAGCCATACGAAAACATTAAATTGGCAATATTTCGAAAACTAAACACTTTGGCAATAGACAACTTTACACAAACTTACCCTTATTTTTAATACTAAATAAGATAAAATTATCAAAAATAAGGGTTTCCATTTTAAGAAAATAGATTTTGGGCGGTTTTCTCAACTCTATTTTGAAATTAGCTTTTTTCAGACTTTGAGTTTCAGCCCTCCGAGTTTTTAATTTTGTCTGATTTTAATTTAAAGAACACTTCAAATTAAGCAGTTTCAGCAAAACAATTTTCCTGGATGGTTCATAATTTAAGCAAAAAAACACTCCGAAAGTTTGAAGAAAAAAATCACCATTTTCAGGCTAAATTTCGAGCGGCGTTGGCAAACTGCGCAAAATGCTTTAAATTCATGGAAATTGTTACCTTGGATACTTTGCATGTAGATTCATTCAATTTGAGTCGGTTTAGATTATTTAGGTTTTTTCGGGTTATCAGCTTTTTCTTTTTATATACTGTTTAGATTTAATTAAAACATAATTTCAACCATGCTAACACAAACTAACTCAAAATTAACCAAAAAAAAAACGCGAAAATACGTGGCAACACCGCATTGTGTTTTCGTTCCCGAAAGAAACGAATAACCCGCCATCTGACAGTCGATGCGTTAGCTAACCTCAATCGATTGGCGATGTTAGAAAAGATGTTCAAACTTTTGCGAAAAACACAATTATTATGCATCTGAGCGACAATTTTGCATGCGCAGTTATTAATTGTTGATACCTAAAACACTATTTAGCAGCAAATAGCACCGGACTGTCTGACTTTCGTGTATAAATAGGTGGATTTTGGAAAAGTGAATTTGAATTCTTTGTAAGTGTTTTTTGCTTTTGTAAGTGCTTACTTTATGGACAATCCAGGATTTATTTTCGCTTAAACTGCTTAATAAGTGTTCTTTAAGGTAAAAGAAGTTGAAACCAAAAATTCTGAGGGACTCAAACGACGCATTCACCAGTAACTTCATCAGCGGCGGATCTAGGAGTTTCTTGAAGGGGGGGGCGCAGTAATATAGGAATAATTACTTTTTGTCTACCACAACCTTTATTCTGCAGTGTTTTTATTGCACTTGAAAATCACAAAACACACGGAAACAACAAACAAGAATAAATAGTATTAAAAAAAAACAACGAAGGAAACCATATTAAACTTAATCTACAGTTTAGGGAACGTCGGTAAAAATAATGAAAAGGATGAACTCAGGGGCGGCGCCCTTCCTGCGCATCCTCCCCTCTCTGAATCCGCCACTGAAATTTATTAATGTACCTATATTTAAGTCAAGAACCAGTTCGAAACAGAGACAAGTACTTGTCTCTGTTCGAAACACTGAACTGGTGGTACTGGATGAAACATGGAAGCAACCAATGTAAAGCGGAAGTCATTGTTGATATATTTTATGAAAAATTTGACAGTCACATTTGTTTTCCTATTTTAAGTAATTTTTGTGTGCCGAGTTTATGGGTAACTTAACTGAGCGGGTCTATCCAATGAAAAGTAAGCACTTGTTTATTGTACTTAAAGAACATCGCTAAAATGGTACTGTTAATACTTAATTAATGTGCAAACGTTCACTTTCGTCCAAATTCTAAATGTACGGGCTCTATGTAGTTGTATGGATTTTTCTTATTTAAGTTGGTCTTTTCCAGATATGTGTTAATGTGATTGCTCTAGTAGAATGAATTATAACCTGCGACCATCATTAAGAAACCTAAGGAATTTTACTTAGTAAATGTTTTGAAAGGAGCTAATAATGGCAAGACCTAAACATTTTTACTCTTTCATTATTGGAACACCCGAAAGAGCCAGTATCCATAGTTTGCCATGCTACGTTGGTGTCCTCACAATTTTTGCCCTCACTTGCCTTTATGGCATTGTAATATTGGTGGACAATATTCTGCCAACTCCTTTAACAGTTCTCGATGAGGTAAGTTTACAAGAGTACCATGCTCTAAGAATCGGTTAACAACATTACGTGAACTCTGGTTACCAATGTATTATCTTTTTTTTAATTGTTCACGTTATCTTACTCCTAACTTTGTCACGCCCTTTGATCATTCATATACACTACCCCTGTTTAATAAAAAAAAGTTTACTACCAGCATTATTTATTAAACATGATGTTCCACGAGAGCACACAACATTATCTTCAGACAAAAGATAACGATAAAGTCAGAGAACATCTCGTGGGTTTAAAGCTGAAAGTGACCAAGTCCAAAATTGCCGCATTTGTCTTTGTTGACTAAGTAATTAAAAAAATGGCATATTTGTCTTAAAAAACTGACAAAGTTCGCCAAGGCCATACAAACAGGTGCACTAAAATATATTTTTAATGACCAAGTTTCCAAAATTATTTTGATAGGTATAATTTTTAGCACGGTTTAAGTGCATAAGTAACAATATCGGCAAGAATAGAAGAGAATAGTTACCGCTACGAAAATGTGCAGTAGTTTCGATTATAAGAATTGCATTTAGATTATAAGAAATATTAAGATTAGATTACAAGAATTAGAATAGATAGAGAATTTCGATTATAAAAATTAGCAAGTAGAAAGTCATTTTGTAATACTTGCTTCTCATTAAAGCCATTTTAAACCCAAATTTTCAACTCTTATTAGACAGTTCAAGATTACTTGACCCAAATAATTTGCTTATTTATATTATAAAATTTATTTATAGTCACGTTATCCACATGCTTTTATTGCCGAGAGAGCATCGTGGGACCTGAAAAATTTAACCGATATCGGTCCCAGGGTGGTAGGAAGTTACGAAAATGAAGTACTTGCTGTCGAATACCTGACCAAAACAATAAATTCTATCATGCAAGAGTCTCACCCAAATCAATATTTGGAACAGGACATTCAGATTGTTACAGGGTCGTACTATTTAAGCGCTAAGCAGGGAGTTATTAATGTGTATGAGAATGTTCAAAATGTTGTCGTAAAACTGCATGGAAAAAATGGATCTTCTAGTGTGCTGGTAAATGCACATTTCGATTCTGTTCCCACAAGTCCAGGTAATATGAAAGTTATATACGTACCTTATTTAGTCAGGAAATTATACATTTACTCTTAAACGCTTAAATATGATATTTGAAGTTACTATTAAAAAATTGAAACTATTTCTCGCATATTATCACTCAACTGAACTGTACAGTTAGCTGCTTCTTCGGACAGAGAGGTGCAGATGTATTGCTAAACGTAATAGGTGCGTACCTGTGACTCCGTTGAAGAAAACATCTTCAAGTTGCAGACTCTATAGAAAAACACAAAAACGCTTAATTACAAATGAAATCAGTAACTTTTTAACAAATCGTTTACAACGAAATAACGAAGTTTGTCTACAAATAATTTTTCACCTCAGTTGTGTTTCGCTGCTGATGCTGTAAATCGGCTACAAACTTACGTTTTAACCATCTTTATTCCGCAAATTCATAACTCTGTCTATTATATATTCAGATGTTATTAAAGACCGATAAGTGTATACACATCCTCTTGATAGTAGTCTAAATATATTTAGGAGCTAGTGATGATGGAATCAATGTGGCAGTTATGTTAGAGATTTTGAGAATAATGTCCAAACTGGAAGATAGACCGATCCACAATGTTATTTTTCTTTTCAATGGTGCAGAAGAAACTCCGCTCCAGGCTTCTCATGGTTTTATCACTCAACATAAATGGGCAAAAGAGTAAGTAACATTCCCGTTGATGTTGCTTCATTTTTTTTCTCTGAGCATCCAAACCCTTTTTCACATGTCCCATACTGATTAAATGTACTGTCAGGGAATATTATCGCTTTGTGAAAATTTAGAAACTGCAAATTTGACTAAAATTACCAAATTTTGTAATAAAATTGTAATTGGTCTTTTTTAATTCTATAAGCAAACTTACACAAATTCGTAAAATTTCATTCTACACACATATTCAAGACCGTTAAAAACGTTCCTTTCTTTATTATTTCTAATGACCTCTTACATACAAATCGTATCTAGTAGTCATTATTTTCAGTGGTAGCGGGCCAATGCAGAGTCTCACTAGGTTTTTATCTGAATGTAAATGTTATCAATATATTTATTTTTAACAAAATTTACTATTTGTTGCAGTTGTAAAGTTGTTATAAATATGGATTCAACGGGGTCAGGCGGAAAAATCATACTCTTCCAAACAGGCCCCAAAACACCATGGTTGTTGAAATACTATAACGGCGTCCCACATCCCTATGGACAAGTTGCTGGGGAAGAACTGTTCCAAAGCGGATTCCTCCCATCCGGTACCGATTTTCGGATTTTTAGAGACTTTGGAAAGCTAGTAGGTAAGTTACCCGTTACTTCTTATTATTTTTAATAATAATTTTTTTCCTCTTAGGCCTTGATATGGCTTTTATAAAAGACGGTTATCGATACCATACCAAGAACGATCAATTCGCGTATATTCCACTGGGGTCGTACCAGCACGTTGGCGACAATGCTTTATTTCTCATCAAATCGTTTTCTAATGCTCCTGAGTTATATGAGCCAGTTTCAACAGGAGAAGAAACAGTTTATTTCGATATTTTGGGATTATACATGATATCTTACAGCAATTTTATTGGAACGATTGTTAACAGTTGTACTATCGTTTTATCAGTTGCTGTTTTCTTTTACTCCATATTCAGTTTGAAGTTGGGTAAGGGTAGTACTTACTTACGTACTTTTAATAAATTTCCTTCATTCATGGAAAAAATACGCTATTAGTTCAATAAAAATGTTTTAGCTTCGTCAAAAGCTACCTTAAATTTTATTGGAATTACAATGGCTGCTATATTGTGCAGCTGGATACTGTGCATTATATTCATATTTGTACTTGCCGTAATTACTGATCTTTTGGGGAAAACAATGAGCTGGTATAGACATCCATGGTTGGCGTTCGGCTTGTACGCTATTCCAAGTACTGGCTTATCTGGATATTTGCTACTTTTAATTAATCATGAGGTACACAAGTTGATACGAATACTTTACCCCGTATTTATAACTGATCCTTGAGTAAAAGTCGTCTCAAGAATAAGAATTGTCACCGATTCTGTTTTATAAACTAATCATCGATATAAAACGAACGTCGGGTTTGATAATGATCTCGTTCTTACAAAGCGCGAGATAAGCCGTGATTTGATATGGGTTATAAATACGGGCCTGAGTTTTAAATAACATCGCCTTTATATTTTAGAACATATCTCTAAATATTCGCTGTCAAATTCAAGCTCATTTGGTGAGGCTGATATGGACAGTAGTTCTCCTGTTGGGAGTGTCTTTGAACATTAGAGCTTCATATGCTTTAATGATTTCGATCTTATTTTCTTCATTGGCTTTTGTAGCCATTCATGTTATGCGCTTTCAGCATTCAGGTTAGTCTAAAATGAGCAAGGAACAATATTTGTTACAGAGAAATAAGGTTTAATTCCATGCATTAAATAAATAAAAATCAGATAACTTTAGATCAATCAAAGCATCTCAACTCTAAAAATAAGGTTTTCAATTTTAAAGCATTTGCAAAGCAATATCAATTTAAGTGGGGCGACATTGCTGATGTATCTAGTTTACAGAATCTGCAAAATGAATTAATTTTTCATCTAATTTTGATTAATATACATACATCACGACTGATTTGAGTGATTGGGATTCTTCAAAAACTACGAAATATTTTTTCTACACAAATATTAATAAAGAAAACCATTTTATCAAAAATTTTCAAAAATTTTGAATATATAAATACAACAGATTATATGATGTTATGAAACAAAAACTTGACATGTTTTTACAGTCAAGTAAATACAGTAAAATATCCCCTTATGTGTACAAAGTCTCAATTTTTATTGATATATTTTTGTTTGTCTTTTATTTATGAATAATTGCTATTCGTTTTGGTCGAAGAATCAACGTGTTTTTCAAGATCACTAATTTTAATTTTTAGTTAATATGTGGCGAGTCATGTACATACTATTTCTGGTTCCGCCAGCGATGAATCTAATGTATCAGAGTCTCACAACTTTTTCACTGATTATTCCAATGACTGGTTTTATTGGTTCCGACAAAAATCCGGATTTGATTATTGGATTAATGGTTGTTACATTCACATTACTGATAGTATCTCCAGTGGTATGTGCTGATTAAATTATCGAAAACTAGGAAATAAGTGCAAAATGTCATTATTTTGAAACTTAAGCTATAGAAAACGTACAGATAATTTACGGCAAATGTATCAATCAATCATTTAATTCAAATCTACAGCCACCCAAACAGTTGCCATTCTGAGATAGATATTTGGAATGAATCTGATCTTATTAGTATGATGACTATTTATTTTACTTAAGAAACATTATACATATAAATTCTGATTTTTCTAGACTGCGTTGACCAATTTGTTAAGGAATGTTAGATGCTACTTTATTTTTCTGGGAGCCATTTTCATTTTGTTTCTTGTACTGATGTTCACTCCTATTGGATTTCCTTATTCGGGAGACAATGATACTTGTACACCGCAAAGGCAGTGGATATTGGTAAGCATTGATGGTTAACTTGATAATGGCTAAAATAAAAAAAAGGTATTTACTCCAATCGAGCTCGTAATTTACCCGTGTCATCAGAAGAAAAATGTTTTTCAGAAGCTTATATGCGCATATTAAGAGTTTTAATTATAAGTAATTAGCTTAGTTAATGCCCCTTTAAGAAGGAAACCGTGGAAAGTTAACATACAGTGTGACAGATTCCATCCATCCGTGTGATCCATTAAACGTTTTCGGCTAACTATAGCCCTTTCTTCACAATGTTATATTTATCTTATAATTTGTTGGCGACTGTAATGCTAATTGGTAAAAAATACCTGTTTAAGTACTTGGGTTAGTCGGTGAATAGGCAGCGAACGGGAAAAATCTATTTTTTGGCTTCAATGGAAAATTAATTGAGACGGTATGAAAAATTACCGCCACATAATAGATGGCTGCGTCTGTGTACATAGACGGTCTATTAATTATAATAAGCAAAAACTCTGTTAATAAACAACTAATATGTAATTATTTGAAAATTAGAATGTAGAAACATTTTTAGCTTTATGCGTTAAATGTTATGAAACCTAAATACTTTTAGCACACTTCTAGAACATTTTACAATGAAACTGGAGCAACTGTTGAAGCAGATGCCGGATTTTTCTTTCTAAATTTAGACAGAAATTCTCCCAGAATTTTGAAAAGATACGTAAAAGACTTAAATAGGGCTGTACCGATAAGTGATGATTGTAAAAATTATCCCATGTGTGGAATGCCGGTATCACATCCTAGAATGGTACAAATTGTGTAAGTACATACTTGTATATTGGGCGTCGGAATCGACGTTATCAGTTTTGTAAGTTAAAGTTAATCACTGCAATTTTGCAGAGAATATAGTACGTGGATTCCTGCAAGTATACCAGTCTTTCCACAGCCTGTGAACGTAGAAGTATTTTCAGGCGGTGTTTCGGAAAATGTACTTCAATATAATGTTTCTATCACTGGTAAGTATTGTGATTAGCCTTTGTTTGAAAGTTTATCAATATGTTTATATATTTTATCATTTTTACATTTGCTGGCATCAAGGCGAAAGATACAAATAACACACATATCGTCTCTATAGAAACTAAGTGCTCGCAATAAAGTGATCTAATCTGCAATGCTCTTCAGTAAATTATTTAATTCATTCATAAGTGGCAAATAAATTAAAAGGTGGAACTTGTCTTTTAATAAAAACCAGAATGCTAATTTTAAGGTTTGGAGAAAACATAAAATATTTAGCACTTTCAGGATATTATGTCCATTAATTTAATATGCCCACTGGTTTTCAACAGTACAAATATGTTTATGCTTTGTAGGTCCTGATAGAGTCACTGTCCTCATGTCGCCCAGAGAAAACATAACTTTTCTTAATATCAGTTTAGTTGATAAAGTTCAGAAATCTGAAACGATGTTTCACGATCGTCCATTATACTTCCTATGTTATCAATCTGGCAAAGGAGATATGAGATTTAATTTTACGTTTGACGTTCGAACACCTCAGAATTGGAAGGGGCCTACAATGAATTTAACTGTAATTGGCAGATATGTGCACACTGATCAAATTAAGAAAACTGCTGAATATATCAAATTATTAGCACAAATGCCCAAATGGACTGTTGTTACAGCTTGGCTGGGTTCGAGTTACTTTTACGTGATTTAAAAGTTATCAATTTTTTTATATCAAAAAGTTGTGCAACGAAGATTTACGACTCTCTGTGTTTAGGTTTATTGCATGCGTAGCATTAATTTTTAATTATTGTAAACGATTGAAAATGTATAATGAAATAAATTATACTTGGAACTTATTTATCGATTTTTTAACAATGGTTATGTTGCCTGAGACGTAGTAAAATGTTGATCTTGTAGTAAGATAGGTAGGAGTTGATAAGCGACTATTGAACATACTCACAACTAATCTGCCTAGACAAATGCTGGTAAACAATGCTGAAGACTCAATCTCCAAAAATACTGGAAGCAACGTGCACTGAAATGCGCAAAGATATAAATGAAGTGTTTTAAAAATTCATAACATTTTAAACACAGTAAATATCCCCCTAAACTTCATTATTCATTCATAGGGATTCAACTTCTGTGGATTACGTAGTTAATAGTCATCCAAATTAAGTATTTCAAACTAATTTTTTCAGTTAAAATAATTAAACAATCCTACAGCATCTTAAATTCAGGTTAAACTACTATACGTGATTTAACCTGAATACCAATTAAAATTAGTAACTACTAAATTATTATTCCATTTTAAAAACATTTAGAATCCTTAGAAATAATTCTATTCAAAGACACTCTTATTAGTAAAATCTGTTTTATTAATAACTCAAATAAGTTAAGTGACAACTTTCTTTAATAACAATAATATTATTTTGTTACGCACTACACATAGATATTTTGTGTATATACATCATTATCTCGTATAATTTTTCTACTATTATTGGCAGGTATACCCCGAAAGTTTAATATTATAATACATCACACTACAAACCGTTTAATTTATAAGCTAGCTGGTAACAAGAAAATTCAAACTGTTCCTACATAATAATAAGTACAATAATTTTATTAAAATCCTGAACCACACATTAGCGAGTGTAGAAAAGAAGCAAAATCGGGAAATAGTTTGTGCCACTACTATTGGCGCATTGTTTAAATTTTCACATATACTCATTTTTTACATGATCAAGGACTCATAGGAACAAGTGGCAAAAACTAATCAGTTCAATATTGCTTTAATAAACAAAAAGTATTACATAATACTAATCCGGACTTAACAATGTTAACTATGAATTTAATTGTGTAGTTTCTAAATTACATAAAATGGGAGATTGGTTGCTTAAAAGCGCAAAGCGCGTTACAAATTTTTACTTTTGAGTATACTTCATTCGTAAAGCGTATTTTCACCTCCTCTTAATGGAAATATTCTGTGGCAAATATTTCTCGGAAGTAAATTCAGTAAATCAAATACTAATTGCCTAGAATGTTTTATAATCCTTATTCAACGCTTAAAAGTAATAATTAAACTACTTTGTATAACTATATAGCAATGTAAGAGTGTTTAACATTATTTTTTGAGATTCACTGCCGCGTTTACATGCTTCTAAGGCTCCTGTCATTTTGTCAATTCCATACAAATTGATCCCTGCACTTTAACTCTTTACAATTAACTTTGATACCGATTAATTTAGAATCGTCTTTTAAGCAACCAAGGTATGCGTTCGTAGCATAAGAATTATTCAAATATTGGATAAAATGTTGTGAAGTTTCATTATAAAAGTATGCTTTTATGCTATTAGCGTGTTCTTATATGTTGATTTTGAAATAAGAATCTACTGAAGATCGATTAATGATTAGATAATCCGGCGCAGTGTGAAATGAGGTACCTCTTCCTTGAATAATTTTCACCATCAGTCTTAAAATGGCAACAGTTTTTCATATTCCTGGTTTGCAAATGGTTCGATGTTTGGATAAACAGTTACGTACGAAATGAAATTATTGATTTAAACTTTCACAACATCTTACTTTTAATACATTATGCAAAAGCGATCAAAAGGCATACAGCTTTTCGCAAGAAATAGAGTGCAATAATTACGTGATGCTAGTTTAGGTGTAACTTGCGATCTATTACGAAGATGCATGTCTAAATACGTGGAGAGCGCGAGGGAAATATCCATACAGGGGCTTGGGGTCACAGTTTCTCCTTAGCCGGGATCCAGATAGTTGGGCCAGATTGCTCGTTTACAATATCTTTAACCTGAGCGTAGATATCTTCTGGGGTATCGCCTTGCACTACAGCTGAAAAAAGATGTGCAGATATATGGCACAATCCTATACACTGTGGTAGAAAAGTCTGAATTACCAAAATATTTGTCAATCGCCAAGCCTATTCGTGTGAAACTTTGTACATTTAGGTATTTAATTAGCCTCGACCTAACTAATAATTATTACAGTTAAGGATTAGTAATCAATTGGCACTGTTGTCAAGTGTCTCGTTTTACTCAAATTGACAGGAATTTCTTTCTTTCCACGAATTTTATGTGATCTTCGAATTCCGCTTGGAATTCTGAATACTTCTTGTTGGAAATATTTTCGGTTTCGAACCATTCTTGCGGAATAAACAAAACTGATGTGTCAGAGATTTAAAGAAAGCTTTCGCGCAGGCAATTTAAAGTAAAATTCATTAAACTAATGATGTTTAATGAATTTACAACATGTCAAGTGCATCTAACAAGACGTATTTAGATTTACAAGTCCGATTAGAAAATCGCATATAATGGATAGGTTTTCACTCGCAAGAAATAAATTCCTGTCGAATAAAAAAAATGACACTTGGTAACAATGCTATATTCAGTTATATCAGGCATAATTTAGTACCTTAATGTACAACTTAAGTTTCGAAACTTCAATCAAATCAGGTGGAGGTATTGCGAGATATTTTGATTATTCTAGACTTTCGTACCACACTGTATAGTAGATTTAGAGATAAAACAGGTGATTTGTAACTTCAATAAGATCTCCTTATTCTCCTTAACACCCCCATGAACAAATATACTTTGTTTTTTTTTCTCTTTGGAAACAATATGGAATTAGCTTTATTATTATCTCTTCGAAGAGATGATCTCTGAACCTTTGAGATGGTCGAACAGATGAAATTCATGAGACAAGTGTATTAGCATTCAGAACGAATTATGATTTATGACTCGTAAACAATAATTTTTGACAAAAATTATTTTTGATTGAAATTGAAATCGATTAGTGGATGAATTTGTAATCCATCAAGTGCAAACTGCCCTGAATGTCGATTGATTTATATAGATATGTTTTTACACACATTTTGTCGTCAGAAAAGAGTCCAATCACTCACCACCATACAGATACACACAAATTTGAAACACTTACTGAACATTGAAAAATTAGACGTGACATACAGTCCGCGCCACTTGATTACTCTCACCAACAGATTTGAACTATTTTTTGTTGATAGTCAAAATTCATTAGTTTCCGATTCATCGATAGTTTCCGTCACTGAATGGCTATCGAATAATTCTAATAATAAATTACAACTATCGAATAGTTTGATAGCTTTTATTCGATAGTTCCATTCACTACGATAATTTACTTTTTGGAATCGTAGGTGGCTAGGTACGTGGAAGAAACAAAACCATGTCACTTGACCACGGATTCACAGTTGTCTAGTAGTAAGTTGAGCATATTTGAGTGTTCTAAAAGTGATGGTATTGGTATGGGACCCCGTAAAACTTTATCTTTAGAAGAAAGAGGGCGAATTCAAGCTTATCGAGAGGCGAATTATTCAAAGCGAGATATTGCAAGAAAAATCAGGCGCATAGTCAAAATTATTAGGTGAGAGTAATCATGTGTCGCGTACTATATCATGAAACATTGACACCAAACAGCTTACTCGTGCTAAAACTTAGTTAGAAAACAGTCTCGCGCTCAACTATAAAAAAATTGACAGAAATTGTGTCTACATGGTCGCCAAAACCTTCGTAATTTCGTACATATCCCTTATTCTGATACGTTTGTTAGCATACATCACACCCTAAATATCACTGGCAGCCATAATTGTCGAAATGCTACTCGTGTTAAATTTGCACCTTTTTCATCATTCTTACCTGTAAAATATTCACCAAACTCCTGTTCTGTTTTCAAAGCTCTTTCAAATGTTTTTTTAGCTTGTTCTTCAGTCATTCTCTTGTTCATTTCGCTAAAAACGTAGGAAATGTATTAAATTTTTTGTACATTATTTTATACATTCAATATTTTTGGTATGATAGTAATTATAATACAACAGATTACAAAATTGGCCACAATCTTGAGCAATTTTGATGAGGCAAGGCATTAAAGAAAACATGAGTCAATTATCCCACTTCCTGAAATTTCATCCTTCAGTTTCTTTCAGGCCGAAAACGAAGAATAAATAACAGCCAAGAGCTGCCAATTAAAGTGTAAATAATACTGCACATATGTGCCTTATAAGATTAATGCTGACGTCAAACTAAAATCTTACTTTAGTTGAAATTGAAGAAAAGAAAACACATCAGTTTAACTTATGTTTATTCCTAAGAACCGAAACAAAATTTTATCTTGATCTCATCAAGGTGGATTGATGACTCCATTTTTTAGTTAATATTTTGTTGTTATTTTTTCTGTGTTTAGTTATGTGTAATTGGCTTTGTGTGACTGTGTTTTGGGAACTTGATATTTTTGTTATCTAAACACCACACTGACTGATTCACAATACTTTAAAAGTTTCATAAATTTTTTTATTGTTTTCTTAATTTGTCCACATAATAGTACAATTTTCGAATAATTAGAACGAATTAGTCATCAATTGAATTGGATTTTCAGGAAATGTAGTAGTAAAGGAAGTACGAATAAAATTTAAAAAAAGGCGGGAGAGATTTTGTCTCCGTAATTTTTTGAGTTTTTCACTCTTTATTTAAGTAATAATTTAATTTAAACAAAAAATTTCATACAACCACCGACGATGCGATTGTTGCTACAAGCACTGCACTTCTATAAATTCTGTAAATATAACATTTTAAAAATGTACTTGAAAACAGTGAATTTATTAACGCCGTTAGATATGTAGATATGATAAATTATAAGTAGAGGAGTTACTTGCAGTTTTTGGTCAGGTAATGATTCGATTTCTTAAAAATATGCGACCTAACTAAAATTTGCCTTACATTATAGATTCCACAGACTTCGGTTTGATAAATATTGCCACAGGGTGGAGCTGTGCCACTTGCAGTCTCTTAATTGCATTTCCACTAACATCCAGAATGCAATGCTTTCCCTGCAAATATAAACAACTATAAAATTACGAACATTTTGTCAGTACAATTTCTAGTACCTTTTCTGCTACTTCTCTTACTGATGACACTGAAGTTCCATACAGGTTGTCATTGTATTGGCCTGCTTCAATAAATAGATGATTTTGAATATCTTTTTCCATCTGTTCTCGTGATGCAACGAAATGGTAATCGCGACCATCAACTTCATATTCACGTTTCGGTCTAGTAGTATCTGAAAAAGAAATTTATAAATGTGAGAACTGTTAAACTGGTTCAGACTTCCAAGTAAATAAAATTATTTTTTAAATTAAAATTATTGTCTTGATTGCTATATATTTGTTTAAACTTTATTTGAATACAATGCGTAGAGCTAATAAATAATGTTTCAGCAATACATAGCAGCAGTACATCGATTGTACCGTAATAGGAAATAGTTCAATTTAAAAGGACTGTTTGATCGTTGAAAATAGTCGAAATGCGATAGTATTTGATAAAATATGTTTCTAGGAGAAACAGAAATAATAATTCTAATATTCCTATAAGTATTTTTAATTAATGCATGTGGTAAAAACTGAAGTTGAATTAGATATTAGTAAAAAAAACTTACGAGGCACACAACTGCCAAACTTCTCTGGGAATTCTGATATGAGATCATCATTTATTCTATCTTTTAGAGGTCCCAAAATGATAACCGGTCTAGTGTACTGAATCTGCATTTGTTGTACTGCTTCGTAGGATAATACGGTTTCCTCATTGCCTGAAAAAAAATGTTTGTTAGAATGCTTCTCCAATCGAACGTACAAAGTTGTGAAATGTGTTGATATAATACATTCGGCAGTGAACATATATCATCGGTTCAGCTTTTATACAAGTTGAAAAAACTTTATAATAATTTATCTACTACTATAAATTGGTACTTGTAACTATAATGAAGAAAACATACATAAAAACTGGAAAATTTGCTATAAAAGAAGCCACAAGATGTAATTGTCAATATCAAATAGATACATACGTCACTAATGCTTGATATGAACAATAATTGATGATAAAAAATTAAAATATTGCAAATTTGCAAATAAAAATAAAGTGATATTGAGTAGAATCTACCTGGTCCCACAGCTGATTCCGTAAAATTGTGAAATTATTGATTAAATATTATTTGAGTACGAAAAAAGGTATTGTTGAAATGCGAAAACAATATAATCAGCTGAGGAACTATACTATGTAGAAATTGACTACGAACTATTCTCTAAATGCAGAAAAACTTGTTGATCTAGAACGGAACGAGAGCTCTCTAATTATGCATTCAGTCTAAGAATTGTTCTACAATAATAATCGATTTATAAACGGAATGTGTAATTACTTAAATGTTTTTGAAATTTTATTAAAAGATCTTTTTTAAGTAAATTATTTAGCCAATATAATTATAAACTTATTGAGTCTTCAATTAAAACCGCAATCAACAACGTTTTGTTGAACAATATCACAAAGTTAATTTTAATGAAAAGATCTTTTAGTACACGTACGATTATAAGTTTACCAGATTTTGTCGGATTTTTTTGCAAATTTGTGAAACATCAAGGTTTTCACTGTGATCCAATTAAATCGGTAAACAATGCAACTGATGATTAATTTGTATGTATGTGTGTGTATTCGATGTTTGTTTAATGTAGTGACTGATCAAATGCGTGAATTAATAAATTAATAAGAAATAAAACTCACAATTAAAAAACTTAATTTGAATACAATATAAAGACTTAATTAAGTCTAACCATGACACTTGCTTAAGTGTTGTGTAACTTTCAAGTTAAATACGGCATGTGTAGTAATTTAATCAATTTTTATCGTAGTATTTCGAAATTGAGGTTTAAATTAAATATAACTCAAAAGGAATATGGATTGGAGTATTCGCATCCGCTTGTACGCATGCGTAAAGTAATTTTGGACTAATGAAATTGCTGTCGGGGCTCTAATAAAATACCTAAATCCTAATAATAGGACTTAAAAAAAATAATTCAGAACCCAAACGGAATAACTAATAAAAATGTTAATAGGCCTTGACTATTTGTCCATGAGATTGTTTGTTGAAATTGCAATTTGCCAATAATAAAAAACGAGCCTTTAGCCTATAAATTCATAATAGATAACATCAATAATAGATTTTAATATCAATTAGAAATTGGTGGCATGCAATTAGGCAGAATAACTTAAACGTAATAGTCACCTGCTGGTACATTTTATGAACAGTGGCGATAAATATTAAATATTAATGCATTATAAAATGCCTTGTCCATATTCAGTGAACAAATACGTCGATAAAAATTCATTAAATATAGACGTTGATGTTAGTAAAAATAATCATGTTTCAATCAAATAACAATAATAGCAATAACATTTGAATAGACAAAATTGGTTAGTAACAAGTCAGATTTGTATTTGCAAGTATTTAGTCATTCCGTCATTAAATTAAAAAAAATACCTTTAAAACAGGGATTCGTAACCTTTTTATACTCGCAGACTAATTTCAAAATCAAAAGGATTTTGTTTTTGTGGCCATTCCTTTTATTCGTAATTGTAATTTATGGATTTTGGGCCACCGGGTAATCGAATTTCTTCTTAGCGTTTCGAAAGGCGTACCTCACAGACCATTTTTCAGTAATAATATTAATAAAATAAGGAAACAAAATATGTTCTAAATAAAATTTAAGTTAAAAATTAAAACATAAACATAAGCACCTTTTTGATTTGAGAATTATTTTCGATATTTTTAGCAGATCTTTATGATTGGCATTTTAGATGGCGTCTATTATTTTTTTAACTAATTGTTAGCGTCTTAGACACGCTTCTTAGGTTAAGAACCCTGACTTAAAGCCAAGTTTTATAAAAAGTAACTTTTTAGAAACATATTTCTGTAATGAGAATGATAATTTCTGTAATGATTTCTGTAAACGAAAAACGTTAATATTTATTATTGTTATTTGTTTATTTATTGGACAAAATAACAAACAAAACAATCATTATAATAAGTCTAACGAAAAGACCAACATAAAATTTTTCGTAATTTTATCTATGTGAAGTTTAACTGGTAGCCAATTTTCACTGAATTTTAAGCAACTGATTCTTGCGTTTTGCTCATTTGACTAACAAATGCAAAACTTGAAGGATATGATGCAGGTTATGAAACAGCTTTGTTTAATATTTACTACAATGATTAAGATTTATTAAGTAATGCAAATATGAATTTAATTAATCGCGTTTAACTGATGGTAACACAAAAGGAAACACCAGTAGTTTAAGTATGTCCTCAGGCACCCAAATTAAGCGTTAGTACTATTCTCGGACGCTAATACAATCAGAATTGGAATAGCAATCACAATTATGATTAGTGGTTTAAAAATGTTATGCTTAAATTATTAAAAAGATTAAAATAATTAAAYATTGATTGCAACTAAACCTTCGGCTAGGCCTGGGTAACACAGTTTGTAGGGTCTCGCAGACTCAAAATGTTTCATCTCGCACGACCAAAATGTAGAGTCTCGACGGACTCAATTCGTGGAGAAATTTGCGTTAATTCGAAGGACCAAGGTGATTGAGAGTGRCTCAGTGAACCGTGGGTGAAGTTGGGAGTAGCTGCAGGATAACAAAGACCTTGCCATCTTTTCTTTGCCCAACTAGCACTAGTTGGAACCGTTTATTAAATAATAATGTATCTCAATTATTTGGCTGGGCCATACGAGCTTACACTTAGGGGAGTTGCGAGAGAGAGAGTCGTAGAGCCCGAGAATAAACTTTGAGAAGTTGAGAATACATTTCCCGAGAAAGGAACCCGGATAATTTAATGTGATCTCACTTGTCACATTTATAGGAAGACTTACGTGAAAACTCGAACTATAAAAATCTATAATAAAATATACGTATTAAACAATCTTGAAAGAAACATTGTGTTCATTTTGGGTTCCTGAAAACACATCTTAACTATTTCAATTTACGCCCGATTAACCATAAAAATATGGGCCCATATTTGAATGCATAGAGTTGCATGATTTCAATGTTTTTAGGTGTTTTTGTTGACTATCAGATGTATTTTTTATTTAAAGGCATTAGTTGCAGGCGTTTTATATTCAAAATATATCAAAAAATGTTTGTTCGGTAGATAAATAGTATGCATTGTGGATCATACGAATATAGTTTAATGGCTGGTCTTTTGGTTATTTGTCACACAAAAATAATTGTTAATTGTATGTTAATATGACAATGTTCAGCTAGGCGAAAATGATCTTCAAATCGCGGGAGAACTAGTGCAAATTTTGGAGGGGTAAACTTTGCCGCCATGCATCACAACACTAAAACTTACTAAAGTCGTCAATATTGTCACTATTCTCCAGATATATTAGCGTAATTTCTTCCATGTAAGGGAGCTCAACCCGATATAATATTTCACCTGTACTAGGAAACACAGAAAGAAGCCAAAAAAGAAAAAATATATATAGTAAATGAAAATACCAGGATTCTTGCCTTACTATGTAGTTTTTTTAACATTTAATCGGCGATATAAAATAAATATATACATTACCTTCATTATTCGAGTCTTCTTGTGTGTAGCATAACATAAATGCTGAAAGAAAAAAACATAATTAATATTTTAAATTAGCATGATAAATTAACGAAATATTCATTAGGTTCGGCTCTTCTCGGCTCATAGCTTCGGCTCTTATGCAGTCTGAGACCAATGAACCAGCATACACCCAAAATGTTAAATGTGTACCTTGAATAAGCCTTATAACTAACTTCTTGAGTGTTATACATAAGTATAGAAAAAATGTATAAACGCATATAGTATCAAAATGTTAAGTGGTCTTTCATCCATAGTTCAATCTAAATATAATTTTTCTCTCTGAAAGTATATGCAAATAAAAACATTATTAATTTGAAATATTTCATAACTCTCAAAATCAGTATAATAGATATTACAGAAGATAGACCGATAAAAACCATACCATTCAATGTAAATTAAGCGAGTAAGTACCCTGTTTTACTTAATTTTTGTTATTCCATGCAATACTATTCTGCTGATGTGAATGTCCAATTATAAATAACCGAACAATAGTTATCAAATATTGAAAATTGATAACAAAGGCATTATTTGGAACTATATGTCTATACATTTTAAATTATACGTTATTGAATAGTCTATTAATTTATGTTGTCGGAACAATATTAAAATGCGTCTTTCTATTTACATTATGCAACTGATTTTAATATTTGTATATTATTATTCGATATGCTGGCTAAACTGCGCTTGAGGCAAACTTTTCGACGACTCTAGAAGACAAAAATGTATGTTTACGAAGTGAATATATTTCACATTAGCTAAAGCTTATTTAAGGTACTATTCAAAATACCCTTTATAATTTTTTTGACCAACTAAGAAAAACACGAAACTGCAAAAATAAATTGGAATGTTTTTGCCTATGACTACGAATAATCTACTAGTTTTGCAAAGGTTAATTATACTGATACATAACATATATAACATTATGCATTTTAATGACTTATTACAGTACATATGGATTATGCTTACTGATATTGGGTTGCAACTAGCAAAAAAAAATTAATATAATGATTAATGACAAAATTTGAAAGTTCTTTCCTATTCTTTATAGCCAGATTACATCTTAATATCAGTAAACATGCTCCAATCAGGAAAGGTCGCATTAGAAAGGCGTCTCCAAAATACTTACTGGAAGAAGTTTTTTCATTACCGTTAGATTGCTGGTCAGACAAAGATGCTTCTAAAGGTAAAAATAAAAATAAGGTAAAAACAAAAATCTACAAAACCATAAAGCATGCAAACTTTTGATCACTATTGAACTTTATTCTAGTCAACCACGCATATAGAATTTATTTCAAAAGTTTGCATGCCAGGATGAAGGAAATCAAAGAAGAATTATCACTAATAGACAAAGATAAAATAATAGGGAATACATCAAAATACACAAAAACAGTGCATATTTATCTACAAGCTGTGCTTGGTACAGCAAACAAACAGGGTTGAAAATTGATCAAAGTTAAAGGTTGAATGAAATTGTGTTATGTTACACCAATTATATAGTAACGTTATTAACAAGAAGGTAGCCTGTCTCAAGTGCAAATATATCTTTAATATACAATTTTGATAAATCGATCCTAAAAGCTTCTTTTGAAAAATCATTCAGATAAAAAGTATACTCTCATGGTTGATGAAAAAAATGTACAGAATAACTAAAACGTCTTTATCGCCTGTAATTAACATTTAATTTATAAATTAATTCCTGTCGGCTAGGTAGTCGGTAGGAGCTTGAAACTTCTGTGTAAGCTTATAAACGATCTTGCCTTTATAGTATGATAAGTGAATCGTCAGTGTAAACCAAATAAATAAGGCTTGCTATATTTTTTTAACCCCTCGCATGTTTGTGCAATTATTTACTTCGACGAGCTGTTTAAATATTCCAATATAAAACTACGATTTTTTCGGTTCCTAGGGGCATTTCAATAACTTGTAGAAGTTTAGCGGTCTACTTACGTTCTTGGTCAGATCCGTCTTCAGACTTTTCATCTTTGCTTTTCATAAACGGAAACTTACGACTGAATGAGTAACTTTTCTTTTTCCTATCCAATGTTGATTGCTGAAACGGAATGCAGAAATAATAAATTGTTATGTTGCCACTAATTTGTGAATGATTAGAAATCGAAATTGAATAAAATACAATGTTAAAAAAAAATGGCAACAACGCTAGAACGATGTTACATTTGCCTATTACATACGAATACGTCTTACCTTTTCAGCTTGACCCCCTTGGCCCTGGAACTTAACAGATCGGTCTCTAGCTCTTTGTTTTCGTTCCCATCGCCTTTTGCTTGGCACTATGCCCATTCCTTGTTCATCTCCTGAAGCGAGTACCCGTCTAGCTTGCCACCACTCATCATCGCTCGCATTAGTTACATGTAAAATGTCGCCGTATTGGAATGCTAACCCTCGAGAGGGCAAACCATCGTCCTTTACAGGGTCATAGTCAAATAAGGCTCTGAAATTACGTAAGAGAATCGAATTAATAGAGTTAATTTAGACAGAGCATGGCTTCAATATCCGTTGAAACAATATAGAATGTGAAACTGAAGATAAATCCTATTAATAAGGTTAACTTTAAATTGAAATAAAACTCATAAAATTCATGTTTAAGTCATGGTACTGGCTGGAATACATTTGTATGCCATTATAGCTTAAATATGATTTGGGGCATATGGGACCGCGACTGGCTCGAATTGAAAGCAATCCATGAAAGAAGTTGAATTTTTGACCATTTTGATTCCACTAGACCATAAAAACATCAAACGGTAAATTTTTCTGGACATAAGAGCTATCGGATTTTGGATTTTCGTCGCTCCAAATTCGGCAAATTATTTAAAAAATGCTGTTCAATGCGCTACGTTCATTATACGGTCGACTTAATCGTTTTTCGCTCAATGGTTGCTTAAATAAGTACCATGACGTCAACATGTTTTTAGTAATATTTATTTCAGTCTAAAGTTTTATGCCTCTAAAAAGAACACCCTTTATATTAATCAGTTCTTCGATTAGAACTAGAACTCCCTGTTAATGTGTGGATATTGGTAGAGACTTCCTTTATTATGAAAATATAACGGTAAAAACTACCATTCCATTTTTTTAAATTGCAAAATTAGAACATTTCAAAATTCACCCAAGAATAGAAGTTGAAAAGAAACAATTATATATCTAATTCTTGCAATGAGAATTGTTTTTATAAAAAGGGTCGCGATACATCTAATATTTAGTCAACGAATAATTGTTTCAGAAAGTTGAACAAACATTTTTTAACTGTATTCAAATCAATTGCATTTTTAGTTTGAAACAAATTTATTAAAAATCCATGAATGTGCTTATTTCTATAAATTTCCGGTGTTCCTCACAAAACAATTCAATGCAAATAGTGAGTAATTCACTGCACTGCTTAATATATTTCTATAGAAACATTAAGCTTGAAGAGGATTGAAAACAAAATCTCTAAGACAAATTGTTAAACCTCAGGTGTACGCCGAGAATTCCCTCGGCACTAATCTATTAAGCAAAGTTAAATTGAAATTCTAGATTAGCTATAAGTTGCGAGGTGTCCCTTTTTATGAAAATTTATAGGGCTAGTTGATCCACCTATAAAAATGTTTTTCAATAGCCTGCACTAGAAGGGAAAATTGTTTAGTATGTAAATCAGTCAGTTCTATTCAAAAAATGTTTGCTTGTTTAGTGGTGGCAATTGGCAGATTACATACGGGTGAGGCTAAGAAACGCAATTGAAAAATGTATGAATGAGTTGATCAAAGCAACCCAACAAAGTAATTTATATGAAAAATAATAAACAGCACTACAATGTGTGTTTAGAAGGTGATTTTCAAACCATTATTCCTAGTAAACTTTTTAAATTTGGAACGTTTTTGAGAAAATAATTGATATTTAAAATTTTACTAAAAGTGGAACATCAACAAATCAAATTTGGAAAAAAAATTTAATCTCATTAGCACTCGTTAATTACCTACCTATTTTGTTGCTAAAAAAACTTATTTTATCGTCTGTATGATTTTATTGCAAGTAATTTAAAAAAATGAAGCCGAAATCATTTGTTTTCACAGATTTTTTAATTTTTTTTCTGTAATCTTTTCCATCATCGACTTTATGGTAGCTTTTTCCGTCGGCAGAATTCCATTTTACTTAGAATTCTGATAGGGTTTTAGGTTCTTTTCTCGTTTCTTTCAAAGCTCCTTTTACCAAGGCCCAATATCGTTCGATTGGGCGAAGTTCTGGGCGATTTGGTGGGTTGGTTTCCCGAGACACCGAAACGACTTTATTCTTTTGGCACCATTCTACAGTTCTCTTACTGTAGGGGCAGGAAGCCAAGTCTGGCCAAAAAAAGTTGACACTTTATGTTGTTTCATGAATGGCAACAATTTTTTTTGGAGACAGTCTCTTACGTAAATTTCTGTGTTTATTGTCTCAATCGTTACAAAAGATTTGCGGCGCTCCCCACAGCTACACAAGACTTGCCACCCGAAAACCTTTTCTTTTTTATCAGTGTTCAATTTTTTGAGACTGTTTTTTTGCATCCAGATTCTTGTTTGCATTTCTGTCTGATGTAGTCTGAACTTTATAAGTTATAAGCAACCTACTTTATTGCCCATTTTCCGATTGGGTAAGCTAGGATTCTTCATCAATTTCTCGGCAACTTTCTTCACTGTTGGTGAGCGGGTAATTCCACTTATCGATTTCCCAACCCAATTTTTTAGCGGGTTCACTATGAATTTTCATGGAAATTTTGAATTTTTAATTCACGCACTTCTAATTCAGATGTCATTTCTGTACTAAAATATATGTACAGTTCTACGTTTAATATGTAAAAATAATTTAGAGTTTCTAAGCATGAGCCAGCTATGATTGGAATTTTGATTTTGTGAAGAGTTAGAACGGTTTTGTGTGCAGCGATTTTTTTCCACCACAAAATAGCTCCCTATAATTCAGTATTAAAGATACGAAAAGCTTTAAAAGTCTTCTTACTGAAATGTTGTGTTAAGGAGTTTTATTCTAGCTGGAATTTGCTTGGAGGACTAAAAACAAGATGTGCTGGTTTCTTTCATTCAAAGACATGACTTCACAGAAGAAAGCCACCATAAAACATCAATTAACCCACAGTTAAGGGGTAACAAAATTCGAAATTATAAGTCTAAGCGTTTTAGAAAAACAATTTTAAATAGTTCACTCGCAGAATCGACTATTTTCACAGAAAAATTCCAAATAAAATTTTCTTAATTGGAAGCCGGGCTTTAGTTGCTTTATAAACACGCCTTTAAGATATTTGTACAGCATAATCGAACACCCTGTATTTAAAGCAATCAACATTTTGAGCGACACAGAACTTTAAATTCAATTTGTTGTATCTTCCGCAATGTTATCTTGAAGTTTTGCATTAAATGTCGGTACATTCAGTTTACTAATAGATTAATTTCCAATACTAAATAAACAAAAAGTATTCGATGTAATTCAGAAAGGAGCTATTTTACATCATTTCCAGCAATAAAACGAAGTTAATTAGAAATTATCCAATTAAAGGATTATAAACGAGTTTATTGGTCAAGCGAAATCGGATCAATTTGCTGATTAAATGCGCAAAAAATTAACAGTGATCTTAATTACAAACTGACCGTTGATAACCACATGTTTTAGCTGGGTAATTTGATTTAGATTTGCAAATTTGTATTTGCTGTTGGCCTTTTCCTGTTAATATCCCATTTTGAAATAGAACTGCATAAAACAATTATTGCCTTACATCGAGTAGATTGTTATTTAATTAGCACATTCATTGATTTAGATCGTTTTTGTTTGAAACTGTTTACCCGCTTTGAACAATTCTCACTCCATACCCATTTGTTTGTTGTAAAATCTTAAATTCACTTGGTTTTAAACAAGAGCAACTTACCGAACATATAAAGATCGTTTCTGTGAGGTTCTAAGTAAGGTGCCCCCCGTGACAGGATTTGCCATTTGCTGCTTGAGGTCGTTTATTTTCGCCTCAAAGCGGTTGTACTCTTCAGGTCTGTATTGAACCACTATTGTTACCGTTTGACTAGTGCCCTAAAACATACAAATATAACAATGTAGAGGAAGGTGAAGAATAAAATTCAATTCAGAACATTTAATTAAAAATAGTAGAAATCAAACTGAACGTAAATATTGCTTGTTTAGCTAGAAACTGGACCTGTCGCAAACACCGCGAACTTTTCTATATTTATCAGAGATCAAAGTGTAAACTTTCATTGTGATGAAATGGGAGATCACGAAGACCTGCAACCGAATCACCACTCTCGCTGAAATCCTCATCATATAAATATATCAAAGTATAATTTGCTTTATAATCTATCATTATTAGAATGTGTCAATCATCGATATAATTAATGTTGATTGTTATCACGATCAAATATTATTAGCAACGCTCGAATTGGTAGTGCCTATTACATTATAATAACAAATCTTAATAGATTTTTTGACTTAAATGGTAATATAACAAATGTTGCAATTTACATTGCAGTTAATTTAAATAATTGTCCGTTTAATAGCGCAAGTAATCAGCAACTGTTAATCTTGCAATACAATTAATTACTTTCTAAAATTTGAATCATTACCTCATAATATAAAACAAAAACCTTCTAGATTACTTCAGTACATTCACTTCCAAGGCACAATTTTCCTGGTAAATTCAATGAAATTCTAACATTTTTAAATATGTGCTATATATTTTATCTATCATTTTTTAGCTATCATTTCTGCACAGTTGACTGCACAAAGGCAGTATCGCATATTTAACAATTTTTTAAATTAATAAAACTCTTAAACGTTTAATCAGACGTCTCTTTCATCAAATCAAGTGGGTATTGCGATTAAATAAATCGGAATATCGAAACTGAAATGACTTGGTCAGTTAGGTACTTGAAAATTTGTCAATAATTCTTTTAATTTTGAAGTAGTAAACTTTTTACTGTATAAGCTGCAGCTGGCAGTTTAACTTCAGATATCATATAGCAAACTATACATTCAAAAATAAACAATGTTTCAAACATCAATATTAAAACAAGATTAAAATATTCAAATTTTTGTTAAGAGAACACCGTTTATGAACAGAAACATTTTACAATTTTGACTATAGAAAGCTTCATAATTTAGCTCCCGAATTTAGCCCCCGAAGACAAATTAGGTTTTAATTTGTTCGACACAAATTAGCCTGGAGGCCAACGATGATGTTATATTTTATGAGGAACAATGCAGGAAATAAGCGCATGCATCTTGCCAAAATTAAACATTCGCATTCGAAGCACAAAATCGTATTTATGTGAACATAATTACACATTAACATCACTTTAATCCGATTGTTCCTTCTCAAGCCTTATGAAATTGTTTAATTAAAGGTTCTTTGTGTAAGCTAATTTATTTGACTAGTATTCGCTAAAGAATCTGTTCTTGAACAGATGTGTAGGGCGTTCAGTTATCTAAGGAGGTTTGTTTTCATATGATATTATATTACGCACAACCGCCGGTCGTCAAATACTCACTTCATATATCATCAAAATGAAACAATAGCTGTTGGAAAAAAATCACTGCCCAAAGCCAGTCCTTTTAAGAAAACAATTACCTTAAGTGCTTGAGCAGCATCTTCATGGGTCGCATTGCGAAGATTGACTCCATTGACGCTAATAATCTGATCTCCTCGTTTGAGTTCTCCACTGAGATCTGCTGGGCCGCCAGCAAGGATAAACGATACAAAAATTCCTTCTCCATCTTCTCCACCGACTATATTAAAGCCCAAACCGGTTGAGCTTTTTTGAAGAGTCACAGTTCGAACTTCCCTGAAACAAATTTCACAAATTTTTAATTTCCACGTCATCAAAATCGCTTCGGAAATGTAATTAAAACCTTTAAAATAACAATAATCTTGTAATCTACATATTGTAATGAAGTATAACGGTAAGAAATACTTTGAATTATGAAATAAGCATTTTTATTCACATATTTTTCCCATTCAAAATACATAAGAATTCTTGGTATTTCCATATTCTCGTTTCGCTTAATTCAAAACGCTGCATATATCGATAGAGGGTTTTTTAACTGTAATCACGTTTATTTGCCATAATAAAATAACTTCCAAGCCATAATACAAAAATATGCCGTAATACAAACAGGTTTAAAATAAATATTACTAATTCCTAAGAAAGTACACCATTTGTTGCCAATTCGTAATTCTTAGTAACTAAGCATAAATATAATTTATGAAGTATATCTCTTTAATGATACAAACCGTTCATGTGATCCAATAGAAGCAACACACAATAATTTCAGTGGGACACACCATTTCTCATAAGAATAATAAAGAAGATGTCGGGATAACTAAAATTATGAAATCTTGAATATGATGGACAATATTTTAGTTTTCCTGAAAAATGTATTACAAAAGAAAATAAAGAAAAAATATAGAACTGAAATAAAAGTGACAATCTCGGTCAACATCAAATTGGAGTTAGTTTTGTATTTATAAAATCAAATAATCGATTCGTATCTGCTTGTATACAAAATGACAACTAAAGTATAAAAACGTATACTTTTAGTAAGATAAGTAAGCAGCATGACATTGCACTCAAGGAAATTGAAAAACAAAAAAAAACACAAAAATAAATACATGTATTTTGACCTGATGGAAAGTTGTAGTTTAGTGCAATAATAGATGAACATACATATATGTATAAAAGTACAGATTAGAATACACAGTTCCAGAAAACGTGACGCGTCTATGTTGTAAAGATTAGTCTCTAATTTTTTTATTAATTAACCCATTTTAAAATATTTTTAAGCAATTTGTCGCTTAATTATGTGGCTAGTATCTAAATTCTAAGAAATGTTAATTTTTCAGTTTCCATGAAAGAAAAAATCAATTCACGTTGTACAATAATTTTTTTGAAAGACGAACCGCAAAATTTAGCTAACCTCCTTGAAACTGAATCTTTTTCTGACAATTTGCTTCTTTAAATTATTGTTTTGCCTGAAAATTGTCAGTTATAATTTTTTTTTTTAATTCAAATAAAACGCTAAGGCACACATTGTCACAAAAAACTCGAAACAAAAACACCAAAAAGTAAACATAGCCAGCGATTTTCGCACTAGAATACTGTAAACTTTACAAAGAAATCTGGAGTGGCACTTTTTTGGAATTAAGTGTATTGACAGAGCAATCTACAGTCGTAACCTGCCCTGGAAGCAACTTAGATGAGGTAAACTTTTTTAGGCCACCTAGAAGTTAATTGCACAGTTCAGCTCTACAATAAAATCTATTTATTATTATTGTTGCGTATTGAGTGGGTACAAATGGTTGCGTGCTGGGAAATCCTAGACGCTTGCTTTGTAACAAAAATAACTTCATTAAAAATAATTATGCACCGAAATGGTTTTAAAGTGCACAAATCTAAGGGTTTTAAAGCATTTATCCATCCTATAATTCTTTTTTGTAGTGCAAATATCCTCCCAAGAAGACCGGTCCAGATGCTCAAAATGCGTTCACAAATTAAATCGTTTTTAAAATTAATACAACCCTGCTTCATTGGAACAGAAGTTTATCCTAAACTTTGCATAATACAAGACGTTACACTGAATAAGTTATCAAATCGATTAAGTACGACCGTTTAATTGAGGATACATAAACAAAGCCTTGCAACATAACCGTTATTAAATTATAAAAAAACTGTAACGTACGTTACGTCCTTTCTATCAAACTGTTCTTAAACATTAATTATTCCATTCATATACGTTGATAGAACCCGCCAATTATTAATAACTGATATACAGTTAATTAATTTTTAGTCACATTCTTCAGGCCTATCAATCAGCTTTAGCATATTCACGCATGACCCACTAACCTTAAAGACAATAAAAAATCTCATGCTTCCAACCGATATGGAGTTAAATAAAGCATGTACCGAAACGTATTCTTCCTTCCTGCGGTGATAAGAGCAAAAAATGAGTATTAATTATGAAAACTTTCTCGAAGCCGAGCGAGGAATGAATGCTCGAAGGTGTGGATGAAGATTGAATTCTGCATGTTTCGTTCATCAGCCGTTTTTTTCCTAGAGCCTTAATAGAATATTAAGAATGTGTAATTTTTTTGTCAATTTTTCATAAAATGTCAACAGAAACTTTGCTGTGTCGACAATAAGCAAAATCAAAGCCAAAACTGAAATTTAAAATAATACATCCGCAATTCTCAGCAAGCTGCATTACGGCAATATATCCTCGGTCGAAACTGCAGACTAACAATACAATAATAATAATTCAAAACATTCTATTTACACCAAGGATCATTTATCAGGATTTATTGAAAAATAAATTTGCATGTTCATATGAATATGTCCAAACTGCATTAAACTGACTAGAAACATTGGGCTTTTGAGTGATCTAAATTTTAGTGTCTGTTTGCGGTTTTTGCATGATTTAAATTTCGAGATTATAAACACAATTGCTGGGTAAAGATAATTCTGGATGCTCGCTTTCTCTACTAACCCAAACTGATTCTCTGAAACCATTAATTACTGTTAGCAGATCTTAAACCTAGAAACCCCGCTCTTGATATACCCAGTATTTCAGTATTTAAGTACCAGTTTGACTACTGACATTCCCCTTTTCTTATTAACTTTAGGTTCATTTAAAATATCTTGTTGTCTATTAAACAAAAAAAAGCCGGGGTTTCAGATTCAACAGTTTAAATGTAGCCTACAATTAAAAGTTATGACACGCGTTCCTTTCCCATGATAACGGCCATTAATTAAACGGCTTTATTCTAGGTCATAATATTTGTCAGATGCATCTCGCTAATCGTTCCCAACTTCAAGTACAGTAGCATAATCTTGTTTTGATTGTCATTTCCATTTATTAGCACCGGATGTTTGTAGGATTAACTCATTTTTTATGCCACTTACCGGCGTATACATAATGAGTAAGATAGCATGAAAATACCTTAGAAGTGCTAATAAATCAATGTCTTATAGAAGATATGATCTTGAAATATATTTGCTTGCTGTTAATTCGACAAAACATTACAAAAGGACCTATGACATTATTAAAATCGTATCAATCTATACTGCTACTGCTTAACAACTTTCACAGTTACTGCAAATGTTTTGTCCAATATAAAGTTCCAGTAAAGTAAGCGTATATTGAATGTGTATGATAGTTTCATTCCATTTTTTGTTTCAGTAAAATAAGCTTATTTGGTATTTAAAAATCACAATGAATAAACCAATGACAAATTATAGCAACGTTCGTACAAAATATTCATCATCACATACATTGCGTAAATTATCACAAGTCGAATTTGCATACTATTCACATTGTCTTCTTGTGTCACATAACTCACGGAAAACCAGTTAAGCCGGGATATCTTGGAGGCCATGCGACAGGTCCAAAACGACCAGCAAAACAAGCCTAAATTAAATGTTGATTTTTTTAACTTTGCGCTCAATTAATGATCATTAAATGGGGTATTAGTGCATAATTCGCTATAACAAGTTTATTTCCATTGCTGGTTGATGTTCATTTTACTATTACCATTTATTTATTAATCAAAACATATTGAAAATTTGTAATGTTGAAAATTGAATTGAAAGTATTTCCAAATTATTAAATCCAAATTGAGACAGTTTTGGAAAGCCAACTACATAACGTCTTCAAAGTACTAGTTTCTCTTAAATTAAAATATTTACGTATGAAATGTTTTAACGGATTAGCCACAATTACAATAATTTTTCGAAGAATTCTAATTCTAGAGTAATTACATATAGATGCTTGCTTAAGCATCTTAAACCAACAAGCGTGATAATAATGCAGGTCTGACAAATCAAGAACTATGTTCATAATCACAATATTCTGATTATTACGAGAAAATACTTCCAAAATTGCAACATTAACAAAAGTACAGACTCAATATTGACCACAATTAAACAAAAATACATAATAATTCCAGTTTCACATTTAACGCAACACGAATAGTGCTGCATACACTTTTCCATTTTATTTTCAGTATTAAAATAATTTGGCGCGTGAAATGGATATTTACATTTTCAAATATTCAACAAAATGTTGCTTTTTTGACAGAAAATTCTATAGAACGAACTTGAAACACAAAGAATGTGTTTTATAAACAATTCAGCATTCCGACGGTCCTCTCAGCCCAGCTCTCAAGAGTTAAACGCTTTTACAATCAAGGCGCCAAAAAGTAGCATTTATTATGTAAATCCGGCATGTCAGTGTGAAATGAACTGGCACCAACAATTATGCAATTCATTAAATCAAACTCCGGTTTCAAAACCACCTCTCTAATCAGATTAACCCATTCCTGGTATAAAAACAGCTGATTTTCTTGGACTTGTATAATAACGGATACGTTTTCCATGTGTACATTAGGTAATTTGAAAAACCGCATATTTTTTCGTTTTACACACCATACCTAATTTGTTTAATTAAGAGATTTTACATTTTATCGAGCCAAGAAGTTACCAGAGATTTAGCAATTTTACTTTGACAAATTTTTGTGATTTTTCCTATTCTGCCTTCGTTTCATTACAAACATATTAATTTAACACTAAATTGTACAAATCAACACTGAAATATTCACCACTAATAAAACATGAGCAGTTAGCAGCATGCCAACTCAAATAATAAAATGTTTTCACATTACACCTAAATTACCTTTTCAATTTCTCCTTATTTTTAAACCTCCGACTAATAGTGGCAAATCCTGCCCGAATTGGGGATCTTTCACGGCTATTTTTCTTCGTCATCTTCGTCTAACTGACCAACACTCGAT